AGCTACCCTCGAGAAACCTAAACATCTTGGAGGACTTGGAGCCCCAAATTTCCACTACTACTTTCTATCACATCAATTGCTTTACATTAGACATTGGACAACTAGCTCAAACCAACCCTGGCAAGACATTGAGGAAAGTTTAATTCAAGAACTTGACATTAATAGTATTCCATTCATAGACAAAGCTATAAAAAAAAATAAAAAATATATATATATATATATATATATATATATATATATATATATATATATATATATAAATACAGTACAGTAAGTACCACCCTGAATGCTTGGTGGAATTCAAACAGAATTCTTAAATACAGCTGCTCTCCCTCCAGTCAAACCCCTCTGTGGAACAACCCCATGTTTTTAATAAATAACAAACCTTTTATATTCTCAGCCTGGAAACAGAGAGGAATAACCAGCCTGGCACAGTTGTTCTCTGGTGGCTTGCTCATGACCTTTGATGACATCAAAGAAAAATACAATATACCAGATAATTGTCACTATCAGTATATACAACTCAAAGATGTTCTAAAGAAAACAGTTGATAGTGGAAATCTCTGCAATCACACTCCTCCCCTCTACTTAAAGCTACACTCCCTCAAACCTCAGAAAATGTTATCACAAATATATAAACTTATAGCCTCAAAGGACAACACTATCTCTCTCCCAACTGAAAAATGGACCTCAGATATAAAAGAAACATGTAATGTCAACTGGCAAAATATATGCTGTGATATCTTCTCTATGTCCAGCAATTCAAAACTCCAGCTAATTCAATATAAAACCCTTCACAGAACATATATCACAGCCTCTAAACTACACCGTATGGGATTCATTCACAGTGATAAATGCCAACATTGTCCAGCTTTAACAGACGACTACTATCATGCTTTCTGGAATTGTCCCCCGACCCAGCAGTTTTGGTCAGAGGTCATGGACAGGCTATCAGAGATTTTGGGCCTTGTCATCCCTTTATGTCCCGTTATAGCGCTACTTAATGACCTTTCCTCACTTTCAGCACCCAATCACCTCAAATGCTTTATATTCATATCACTTACCATTGCCAAAAAAGTTATACTGCTGAACTGGAAGGACAGAACCAAAATTTCAATAAAGCATTGGCTTAACCTCCTCATGGATCACCAACTTCGAAAGACTCACAGCAAATTTTAAAAATAACACAAAATCAATCAAGGAAACCTGGTCACAATTTTTACAATATATTGAGAGCTGATTTCTCTCTCCAAACTCATCAGGGGAAGGTTAAAACTCCTACATAGGATTTGATAACTACCCACGTTATAATTACATAAAAAGGGGGGGGGCATTACTGCCTTGTTTACTGTTTTGTTAAGTGTCTGTGTTTGTCTGTCCTGTATGTCCAGTTTGTCATTATTATTATTATCATTTATTATTATTATAATAAATTAGTTTTTTTTTTCTCTGTTATTTCTGTTCATTGTTTCACTCAAAGCAGGGGGTGGGTGAGAGGGTGGAGGGGGGGGCGGTGTTTGGAGGGGTGTTGGGTGGTTGTGGTGCCACATCACCTTATATCTATATGATCATTAGTAAACGATGAGTCGTGACATTAATAGCGAAGTGAAAAAAAATAAAAAAAATAAAAATATATATATATATATATATATATATATACATACACACACACACACACACACACACACACACACACACACACACACATATACATATACATATACACATATATATATATATATATATATACACACATATATGTCCCCTGGAAAGGGGGGGTGGTGGTGTGGCCAAGGAATGTTGGCCCGGGAATTAAAAAAAAAAACAGCTTTACAGGAGAAGGAAAAAACATTACTTTCAATGTAAATTATGCAACATATTATTTTGGACCATTTCTGTTGGGCCATTCATTATAAAATTTTGAAATAATGTAAACAGCAGCTGGTGTTTTCAAATTATGCAACAATAATGATAAAATCACAAACAATCCCAAAACAGAGAGACTAGGTTTTGTTTCTAAACGCAACAATATGGTAATATACATTGTGTTAACCAAACTATCTGACATTTTAGATTATTTCAGAAAGTAGCTACAATGTTTTCATCATCACATTAAATTACACCACCAAATACTTTCCTGAGTTATCATTTCTGGAATGCTGCATGCTTCATTATAATAATAGACCATCTTTAGAGAGCCTGTAAACAAGGACCACTCATGTCACACTGTTAAACTAATGTAGACCCATTACATTATTAACTTATTTATGTTTTACTTGTATAGTTAATTTGTAAATAAGAGTTTTTTTGTTGTTATTTGGCACTACTCTTCCACTGGTACACTGTATCTGTTCTAACTAAGAATAACTAAATACTGTATGAATATGAATTTACTGTATGAATTTACACCAGTTGGTTGGTGGACTATTCTAACTCCAGCAGCACTGCTGTGTCTCATCCACTCGTACCAGCACAACACACACTAACACACCACCACCACGTCAGTGTTACTGCAGTGCTGAGAATGATCCACCACCCAAAATAGTACCTGCTCTGTGAGGGTCCATGGGGGTCCTGACCACTGAAGAACAGGGTAAAAGGGGGCTAACAAAGTATGCAGAGAAACAGATGGACTACAGTCTGTAACTGTAGAACTACAAAGTGCACCTATATAGTAAGTGGAGCTGATAAAATGGACAACGAGTGTAGAAACAAGGAGGTGGTCAGAATGTTATGCCTGACTGGTGTACATCATAAAGATGGCCTCAAGTTTTGCAGCATCATATTTTTGTCCTATCGCTGACATCTATTTGCAAATACAAAACCACAGAATAAGTGAAAACACAAACACGGTAGAATAAAATTGAGAGATGAGCAAAAAAGTGTTAAATCAATGTACTGTAGATTCTTGAAAGTGGCTCCCTAAATGTCTTCTAACTGTTCTCTGGGATGCTTTTCCTACAGGCTGTTATATGCTACCTATGCTGAGCACATGTTGTCTACCTTGCACTGTGCTGCACCTGCATGCCTGGAACACTATGAAGTCTCCATGGGATTTCACCTTATGGGGCAGGATTCTGTGTTTAGATGCAGAAAGATATCAGCTGTGGTTCAGGAAAGTGAGTCCTTTCACCAGCTCAGGCTCTACCAGCTCAGCTACACATCCAAAACTGCAAACATCAGAAAGAGTGAGATGTCCTGAATAAACACACACAACAGCATCTTTGAGGCTGTCCTGGACCTGAATTCATGAGGGCAACGGGTCAGACATTATTGACTAATTTCAAACACTGAGCGCATTTACATGCACTTAACAATCTGATAACTGCAGAAAATCAGATTTTGTCAGTAATCCGATCAATGTGTTTATATGCACCTGAGTAATCAGATAATGGGGAAACTCCAGGTCTATACGAGTCAGCCAGTAATCAGATTTCTGCTTTACACCCGGCCAATAAACTCACAGAAGAAGACGTGACGTGAACGTACTGTAAAACTCAAACTTCATGCCGTGACTTCTTTTTAAATCATTGCGCCACTTTACCTGAAAATATGAACATACATCAACTAGAAGATAAATATTTTCATGAAGAATGATGAAGATTCCTTAATAAGCTGTTCGCTTATTTCCGGTGTTGCGGTGTTTTTTCGCACATGTGCAGACTAAGAAATCTGAAAGAAATCAGAGTAAGAGTTCACACTGAGAAATCTGATTACTGAGCTAAAATCCAACCCTCTTTTTCAGATTTCTAGATCAGAGTATGGTGTTTACATGACCATTAGAATAATTTGATAACCGCAGAAATCTGATTATGATCGGATTGTTGAGTGCATGTGCTTGCACACAATCTCACTCAGTGTCCAGAAGTCTCCAGACAGCCCCTTGAATTAGTCAATTTAGCTACTTTAAGGTGCACCAATTACCGTTAGAGCCATTCACGGCTTGTATAATCTCCACAGAAAAGCCTTGACTAATAGAATTGGATTCTTTTTAGCATCAAGGGTAAAGCCTTCCCAGAAGAGTAGAGGCTGTTACTGAAGCAAAGAAGGAACAAACTCACTATCAATACCCTTCATTTCAGAAGAAACAATAGATAAACAGGTGTCTTCAAACTTTTGGACATATAGTGCACAATCATTCTCTGACACACACAGCTTGCTTGAACTGAAATAGCAGCGTATGCCTGAATTAAATGGCCAGTGGACATTCTCGGGACAAAAAACAAAACACTCAAACATTTGGTAGTTCTCATCATTGTGGAGCTCATTTTAGAATCAGAACAAAGTGACACACTAAGCGTATCACTAGGGGAGCGGGGCACAACCTAACACTGGGTAAAATGCAACATCAGCATTTTATGTAGTTAAACATAAATAGAATGTGCTTCTTGTAATCCAACAGCAACGTCATTTGCACATGTTGACAGCTACATGATATTTCTAGAGATTCAATGAATGCTGTTTTTATACCATAAAAGTAATTTAAGTTACTTTTATGGTACTTCTAAGTGTTTTTTTAAGTACTGTTGTTCATAAGTCACACCAAGTCTTACATTATTTAACATTTCTAAAGTCTAAAGTACAGCCTCCACAATGCAGGGTTAGTTTAACACGCTGTTACAACCAAGAACCCCCCCAAAAAATGAGAAAAGGCCCTAATCCGCAAATATAAATTCATTTATATCATCATTTCATTTTTGGACATTTCATTCACAAATTCATCAAAAATATACTATAGATATATGGAATTAAAATACATTTCAGTCTTACTGAGCTGATATTTGCTATTTTATTTTGTGTTCAAATAAATTTGCCATGTTTGACCCAACCTGTTTTCACAAATCATATTTATTTTGATGCATATATTTGTATTTTTAAAGATAATTCTTGCTCAAAAACCTTAAGAATTTATCAAAAAAAAAAAAAAATTTAAATGCAGTGTCCACACTCTCCCCTATACATCATGATGGATGAAAGTTAATATTCAGCACAGTCAGAGCTAAGGGGTATAACAATAAGTTTATTTCATGGGTTAGAAACTTCCTGTACAGCCACTGTAAAATGCATGACAGCATAAGCAAAAATGTTCAGCATATTCGCGATAACGGCGGACATTCCTGTAAACGCTGAGCCTGTCCGTATGATAGCATGATAGACTAAACATTCTCCCAAATCTCCCTTTGCAGTACTTTTTTGTTCATTTTTTTTTGGCTCAAACGACCCCAGATTTTCATAAAATACATAATTAAAAACTTAAAAATAGCCAAAAAGCATTATACAATTATAAATGCTGAGTAAAAAAAGAAATCAATAAATATGGATTTCATTATTTTATGACATGCCTCAAATATGCAAGCAGCATACACATTAGATTGACAATTATGAGATGAAACAATTTCAGTTTCACATTTTATTCATCAATGCTCCACTTGACAAAGCCCTGTTGTACCTTTTGATGCAGGAAAAATCTGTACAATCACCGTCATGTCCACTATTAATGGCTTGCTGTTGTCTCTCATATCTGTAAAACATACTCACTCACATGCATACAGTCTCTCTCTCGCACACAAACAGCTAGCGCTAACTGCAACAGTACCTTTGGCAGTTTATGCCTGAATCAAAGGCCTTTATAATGGGCAATCATGTTGGCACAGGAAGTGATAACAGTGAACGTTTTGGAAACGCTCAATGGAAAAAGCAGAGGAAAAAACTCAAAGTACATTTCTTACTGTCAATCAGGAAGTTTATCATAGGCCTAAAAATCTACAGCACCAAGTACAAATGGGGTGTAGAGCGATGGTGCTTCTTACTGTACATTCTATAGGCTTTAGTAGCACCATTAAAAGCTAAAGTCACCTGTCCAGGATGGATAAAGGTGACCCAATAAATGTAAAGCTTTATACTGAGTTCAGTCTTTTTTCTCTTTCTTTTAGCTGTACTGGTGTGAAAGTAATGCAATAGGAACCTACTGGGGTACTACCTTTCACTGCTTTTAAGGTGTTAAGATGGCTTGGCTTGAGCAGACAATAACTGGAGACACTCCTGGCCTGTTTAGGGAAGAAAAGGGGGCATATGTAGGTCAAGCTGGATTGAGGGAGGTCCAGATGACCATGTTTTCTGGAAAAAAAGAGGTGCATTGAATTTACTCGCACCTTACATCATTTCCACATGAATAATATATATGGAAAAAAAAACACTATTGTTGCCAAAAATAAGCTAACTGAGACACAACTGTGTTGACTAGTGTTGTCAAAGTTCACCTGAAAATTGCTGGACAGTACTTGTGGGAGAACTATGGATAAATCAATGAGCAGCAAACTAACAAAAGCAACAGCAAAGTGGAGCTCCAGTTCCCCTCGAGAGCCTCTACAGTAAGAAGAATCCATGAGCTGTATGAACAAGAGTGAGAGGCAACAGTCATGGAGGAGCAGAACCATTGACTGTATCGCTGTTGTCAGATCAAAACCTCATATCTACAAAATGGTAATTTTACTGGAAAAAGAGAAAGCCTACTTTTCTTTTAATGTAAGTCAATGGAACCAGACTTCCAAGTCATTTCGGGCCTTTTCTATTGGTCCATTCATCATGAAAATTTACACACAAAGTAAAGGACAACAGGCATTTTCAAATTATGTCAAAAAACTGAAAAACGACAAAAATGGAAACTGGAGGTTTTCTTCCGACAACAGTGATATATATGATACACAGTCATATGCAAAAGTTAAGACAACCCTAGATGAAATAACCCTCCATGTGAAAACAAGTTAACAGATCATCTACAAAATTAAATGTCATTTTTCTGCCAATTTTAGTGCACTATTTCTATTTATTTACTGAGTTTATGATATTAGGAAAAAATATTAAACATAAAAGGTGCCATTACATTTGCACAGGTCACATTTTATGTTTTATTCTTCCCCCAATATGTCAGCAAATGAACACTAATGTGCATTAAAATGTACAGAAGTGTGTCCTCTGTAGAGGATGTGTTTATTTTCATTTAGGTAACAAAACACAGTTTGACAGGGGTGCCAAAACTTTTGCACACCACTGTATACGCTCATTGGCTGGAAAATGTCGCTCTCAAAGGACGTCAGTTATGAAAACTGTTCACTCGGTGTGGAAACCATGTGATTTTCATGTTCAGGTTGATGTGAACTGTTCACATTTTACAAATTACAGAATTACAGAAAGTCAAATACATTCTGAGGAAGCTTGTTTTGTCCACACAACACAATGCACTGCTTTTAAACGGAAAAATCTCTTTTTTTAGGGTGAAAGTTCAGTAAATAAGTCAAATGTGATCACGATTAACTACAGAAAATAATGTGGTTAACCGCAATTCCTTATTTTAAGGCTTGCCGTAGCGCTGATGTAATGTGGAAATGATGTATACAGTTGAATGAAGTAAATTTAATGCAGCATTTCTTTCAGGTTTTTAGCATTCATTAACTCTCATCAGGCCCCGCTTCCAGAGCAACTTCTTCCTGTAGCTGCTCCGCCTCCTCCTGCTGCAGCCTCTTGTCCTCCACCAGCTTCATCCTGTCGCGGATGTTCTCGGCCGAGGACGCCATGTCGCCAGGGCTGCCGAAAAACTGCTCGCTCCTGTAGCAGGGAATTGGGGGTAAAGTGAGGGGGAGAGAGTAAAGACAGTGTTGCCTTTCAGCACTTCTTTTTGTCAAAATAGCTACACTTAGTGTACGCTAACAATTTCAAATGGTTTATTTTGTACATGCACAAAAGGTCTCACTGTTTAAACAGATCAGGTGTAGTTTTTAACAACATTATACAGCAACTCTAAACAAGTGCACTACAGGTTTTATTAGTTTTAATGGGATTTTTGCTAATATTCTGTAAAGCTTGCCCAACCCAGCAACATTCAAAACAAAGGAACTGGCATTTGTGGGCAGAGCATGAATGGGTCAATTCTCATTTGTAACATCAGAAATCCACTATCCAGCGCTGCCCAGAGGAGGATGGGTTCCGTTTCTGAGTCCTGGTTCCTCTCAGTGGTTCTTTCTCATGCTTTTCGTGAGTTTCTCCTTTTGGGTCCCGGTTCCTCTCAGTGGTTCTTCCACATGCTCTCAGTTAGGTTCTCCTTTTGAGTCTTGGTTCCTCTTAGCGGTTCTCCTCATGCTCTTATACAATTTCTCTTTAAGTCTTGGTTCCTCTCAGTGGTTCTACCTCATGCTCTTAGGGAGTTTCTCCTTTTGAGTTTTGGTTCCTTTCAGTGTTTCTTTACGTTCTTATGAAGTTTCTTCTTGTGAGTCTTGGTTCCTCTCAGTGGTTCCTCTCAGTGGTTCTTCCACATGCTCTCAGTTAGGTTCTCCTTTTGAGTCTTGGTTCCTCTTAGCGGTTCTCCTCATGCTCTTATACAATTTCTCTTTAAGTCTTGGTTCCTCTCAGTGGTTCTACCTCATGCTCTTAAGGAGTTTCTCCTTTTGAGTTTTGGTTCCTTTCAGTGGTTCTTTATGTTTTTATGAAGTTTCTCCTTTTGGGTCTTGGTTCCTCACAGTGGTTCTTCCTCATGCTCTTATGGAGAATCCCTTTTTGAGTCTTGGTTCCTTTCTGTGGTTTTTCTTTATGTTCTGCCGTTTTTCCTTTTGGGTCTTGGTTCCTCTCAGTGGTTCTTCCTCATGCTCTCATGAAGTTTTCTCCTTTTAAGTCCTGGTTCCTCTCAGTGGTTCTTCCTCATGCTCCTCCTCGGGAGTTTCTCCTGAAACTTTCTCCCTCAGTGACTCTCATTAAGGTGCTGCACCTTCATTTCTGGAAAGCTACTTTGAGACAACGTCTGTTGTAGAAAGCCAGTATATAAATACAATGTAATGGAGTTTAACTGCAGCCTTTCTGCTTCTCTGTGTCTCTAACACTGAACGTTCTACCTAATATTTCACATTAGCAATTCTGAGCGATAAAAGATTTAAATGATCGCTTTCACTCTAGAAAGTCTGGAACTGACACTTCAATTACTTTTTATTACAGCTATTACCAGAAAGAAGCCGAGTCATTTCTGAGACGCAAAAGTGAGCGAAGTTAATTGAGAGTCCAGCTGAGTAGAAGAAGCGAATGCTATGGATTTTACAGAGCTGAGCACTAATTTATTTTTCACTGACATAGATTTTACATGTATTATATTAACATAACGTTATTTTCAATTTGACATTGATATTTTTCCTTTAGAAACTCTTGGTACTGATAACTCGTATTTAAAAAAAATGCAAAGTGCAAAGGGTTTCATTCTGATAGGCAAGAGCCAGTCATAGAACCTAAACTCGATCTCTCTAAACCCGCTATACTGTCAGGCTCCATGGGGCTCAGGTCAGGTAGCAGATCTCAAGCTGTGTTTGGCCAGGAAAGTGCAGCCATAAGCCTGTAAACACTAACAGAGTCATATACAAGTGCAGCACATTATGTACCCACCATGCATTATTTACCCATTCACTTACTTCTGCTTACGCTACTACAATCATTTGGTGATTGTATTAATGGCACATTAGTAATTAATGGTGTTTACTTTCTCCCCTTAATTACTGTTAGATGTATTATTATTAGAGGCCTTTTGCTAAAATGATTCACAGTCCCCCTCCCTTCAATCATCCAGCTCTACCACAGTGCGACCTCTGAACTCTTACCCATCAGGAAAAATGACAGGTACAGTGAGTCTGTCCAGCAGAGCCTTCCCCACCGTCTCCACCTCCTCAAACACCTCCACATCCAATAGCTCCCCCTGCTCTGAACCCTCCTTCAGAACCTACGCAGAGGGAGAGAGAGGGACAGAGAGAGAGTTGTGTTATTGTGTGAGTCAGAACAGAGCTGTAGGGAACATTGCCAGGGACTTTCAGTCTCACTCCTAAAGCCAAAAAGCACTCAGAGCTCACAGAGCAGCATCAACAATCATCTCACAAACACATACAGCCACTTTTGTTTTTAATACATTATTATAAAAGTTTATAGATCTATGTTATGTATATATTATGGCTGTCAAAATTATCGTCAGTAATTATAAAAGGGACATTATTTTTCTTCAAGGTCATTATAAGCTGAATCTGATGTGAACAAAGGACTTTTTTTTTGGATCGAGGATAAACACAACAGACAATGCACGTTTTTTTGTTTGGATTTTCACTGTGTGTAATCACGACAGGAGAAACATCAGAATGGAAAAAAACATCTTCAAGACTCACAAAACAGGCAACAGTAACACTGCCTAGTCTACTGTTCATTTTGCTTTGTGTTGAGATGCTCTGGGGTTTAATGACCAACAAACCTGAAGGGTAGAAAGCTCTCCTCTAGAACACTCGTTATCCATTCACACTGCTCTAGAACGCTCTTTATCCACTCACACTGCTCTAGAACGCCCTTCCTCCAGTCACATTGTTCTAGCACATCTTTATCTATTCACACTGCTCTAGAATGTTCATCCATTCATGCTGCTCTAGAACGCTCCTTATCCATTCATACTGCTCTAGAAAGCTCTTCATCCATTTACATTGTTCTAGCACATTCTTCATCCATTCACACTCTAGAATGCTCTTCACTCTAGAATGCTCTTTATTCATTCATGCTACTCTAGAACACTTTATCCATTCACACTCCTCTAGAATATTTTTTATCCATTCACACTGTCCTAGAATGCTCTTCATCCATTCACATTGTTCTAGCACTTTACCCATTCACACTGTCCTAGAATGCTCTTCATCCATTCACATTGTTCTAGCACTTTATCCATTCACACTGTCCTAGAATGCTCTTTATCCATTCACATTGTTCTAGCACTTTATCCATTCACACTGTCCTAGAATGCTCTTTATCCATTCACACTGCTCTAGAATGCTCTTCATCCATTCACATTGTTCTAGCACTATCTATTCACACTGCTCTAGAATGCTCTTCATCCATTCACATTGTTCTAGCACTATCTATTCACACTGCTCTAGAATGCTCTTTATTCATTCTTACTACTCTAGAACACTCGTTATCCATTCACACTGCTCTAGAAAGCTCTTTATTCATTCACACTGTTCTAGAATGCTCTATGTCCACTCGCACTATCCTAGAATGATCTCTATCCTGTCATACTGTACTAAAATGTTGTTCCCCCATTCAAACCATTCTAAATACCCTCCATTCAAACTGTTCTGCAATGATGTTTTTCCATTCACACTACTCCAGAATTTTCTGCATCATTCACCTTGTTCTACAATGTTCTGCATCATTCTCACTGTTCTAGAATATTCTCCTTGTTTACACTGTTTTACAATGTTTTTCCCCATTTTCCTTTGTTCTAGAATACTTTTCCCTTTTTAATGCTGTTCTATTCACATTGTTCTAGCATGTTCTCACCTTCACGCCGTTCCAGAATATTCTCTCAAATTCATGCTGTTCTAAAATGTTCTCCCACTTCACACCACTTTGAGAACGCTACAATGTTCTCTCCAGTTTACACTATTCCATGATGTCCTCCCCAAATTCAAACTGTTCAAGAATCTAGAACATTAAAAAATTCAACTGATACTGAAATGTTAGTATTTGTTGAGTGTGAGTGTGTTGGGTCAGTGTCCACTCATCTTAAGATCATGAAATCATCTAAAATTTGGAGGGAAGTTAAAGAATCCAGATATTGACTATCAATCAAAACTTTGGAAACATCACCTTGTTTTTATGAAAAATGTTCAATTTACATTTACATTATTAATTTAATTCAAGTAAGAATAATATCTGAAAATGTATATTAAGGTATATTTAACAAAACCTATTTTCATGTTCTTATTCGGAATCATGTTTGAAGTATCTCCTCTGGACAGTTTTCTTTTTCAAACTATTGTTTAAAGCACAAATAGAAACTCTTCTGTCTCAAATGTGGTTTAAGCACCTGAAAGGTTTGAGTACTGATGACTCCTGACATCTACCTTGGAAAAAAGTCAATATCTGAACAGCTAACTAATGTTAAGCTATTCCAAACTGACACATTTTAAAATATATTTTTTAGGTATTCTCAAATAATTTACAGTCAGTATATAATTTTCCCAACACAATTCCAGCTACCTTAATTTATCTGACCTACGTTTTCCCCCACTGGCAACAGGGCCATACAAAATACACAGAGGTTCTCATTTTTTGTTGTACCCACCCTGTCAGCAGCGGTGTGGAAGGTGCTGGCCATGTCCAGTCGGTGCTGCCTCTCGTCTGCAGTCACTGTGAACTGTTTCCACACACGGTTGAGTCTGGGCAGCGTGTCGCCAGAAGAGCGTGTGGTGCAGCGCAGAGACTGGCACAGCACCACTGTGGCCTGCAGCAGCTGTCTGCCATAATCATACGTGCTCTGAGGAGAGAGTACAGAACATTAACTGTCCAGAAACAAAACAACATCATTAGGCTGGTCATGATCATAAAACTTCAGCCAATAATAATCAAACAGGCTATTGTGATTAGGGGCAGTCAGGGGCTGGAGGTTAGGGAACCAGCCTTGTGACCGGAAGGTTGCCGGTTTGATCCCCTGAGCCGACAAATGGGAGGTCTAATTCCTCTGTGTGCAAGCACAGTTGGCCAATGGTTCTGAACTTAACAGACCTCTTTATTAATTTCATCATTTTAATATTGGTGGGTTATAAGCTTTTATTACTTGTTAGGCAAAAACTGTACATTTTATAAACTACTACAATTTATACTAATTAACTATGATGCACTATTCTTTAAATGAAATGAAATTAAGTCGTCTAATTTACTTTCCTCAACTCAACCGATAAAAATGCACCTAAAATTTGACCTTCTGTTCTCAAATTTGCGGTCAGGCGACTATGTATTAATCACAAAAGACTCCGTAAACTACATCAACATCAGACCACTGAGCTACCACTTACAACTTTTGCGAAGGGGCGCAAGATGTTGGAATCATATCAGGTAATTGCTTACAAAATTATTGGTATTGGACAGATTTTTAGATTTGACTGAAATTTCAAACCAATATTTGACGCATTTATCGCACTCGAAGAGCAAAACAGTTTATAAATGTTTCTGCATCGACAGATAAGTACACAATAAACATTGTACATTTCCATATTTTGTGCATGACTAAAATAAACTTCATCAATAAAGGCTAACAAGGCACTAACCAAGCAATTAAAAGGAAATACTTAACCTGACCTCACTTATGCAATACTATCGGACAGTAAATAGTTTTTATTTACATTTAGCTTTTAGATATTTTGATGAAAAATTACTAGTACGTGGCAGACGCCCCTTAGACCCTCAGTTTTACTCGAGAGAAAGAGTCTACCAAACTGTAGACTTCAGGCAGCGTCATCTCCCGAAGTGTATTTAGATTTTACACTGCAACATTATGGTGAAGAGCTACTCCATCATACAAAATACATACTTTCAGCCAAGGTTAGTCAGACATGCGTGATTTCTCATCGTTTTCTTTGGTTTATTATTTTATTTTTTTATTTTGGTTTGTTATTATATTTTATTTCAGTAAATATACAGTTATACTATTATTACAGTTATACCATTTATGGAAAATGTGCTATAGATGGTTCTTTATAGATCTTTTGTGAAAAGGGTTCTATATTGATAGGGTTCTTCTATTGTTATAATCTCAAGCCTGTAGCAATAGAAGAACCCTTTTTGGTGCTACACAGAACTCTTTTCAAAAAAGATCTATATAGAACCATCTACAGCACATTCTTCATCAATCTGAAGAACACTTTCATGATGCAAAGAACCCTTTAAGCATGTAAATGGTTCTTTGAGTGTTCATGGTTCTATATAGAACCATTTTCTTTACTAAAAACCTTTGAACCATCCTTTTTTAGAGTGTACTTTGTATTGTGCTTTATCAAGTAATCTTTTCTTAATGTGAAGAGTTTCTTGGTGTCCGGGTGACCGATAAAAAAGAAAAAAAAAAAAAAGCAACCATAAAAACATTTTTTTTCAATAGTGGAATTAGTGTTTAGTTATCTGAGGACTGTGTTAAGATTATTATTTTAACATTCTATTTATGAAACCATGGCTTTGTGCCCCCTGTTTTTCTGGCTTGCTCATGTGTTGTATACGCAGCTTGACCCCTATTTGGCCCATTTACTGACGGAAAGTTACCTGTGCAACATCCACAAATTTCCTGTGTTTCTCCAGGAGCACTTTGGTTTCCTGCGAATCATCGCCCAGCCTAATGTGTGTCTTCAGTAGAGCGTCCAGCAGCTCCCCGAGCCACTCCACTGCCTGCAAGAGCCAGAAAAAAAACAAACCATTTTACACATCAGCTACTGAGAAACAGCCTGGCTGCACGCTTTCACTCTGTTTTGCTTCCTGTTTCCTGGATTCAATCTGGCATTTTAGACTGATTATCTGCAGGCAGACAAATTAGAGTGATTTGATGAGCTACAGGGTGGATCAGCTGATGATGAATTAAACAAGCAAATGCAGTAGAGCAAAACTGAAGAAGAAAACCACGTCTTCATCTGCTGAAAACAACGACTAATGCCAGGAGAAAGTATTCGCTGCCGGAAACATCACAGACTGGACCCATGAAAGAAACCAAAGTGAAAGCTTATGAGATTCAAGATGATCTTCTCCTCCAGTCTAAGCCAAACACAGCACAGAATCAGACATCAAAGCGGTCAGACTCCCACTAACCTGCGAGGCGTCCTCCTCACACTTGAAAAGCTGGACCATCTGCAGCATCTTCAGTCGCCTCACGTCCACCATGTCCTCGCACCTTTAAAGTCCACACTTCAACATGTCAGTGATTCTGAATGACCATGCCAAACGCTGCCATCTTTTTTTTAGAGCCTTTAAAAGCCTCACTTTTGGTGTTTTCTATCCATTTGTTCAGTGCCCCCCACTCCACCCCCCCCAGCCCCAAGACAGCCTTCAACAACAAACTCCCAAGTTTAGTACATATATTTAGAGCAATTATCTGCCTTGTAAATATTTAAAGAGAGTAAAAAAGTCATTAAGCCATTAAAACACTACAGCTGAAATTAGTGAAGTAAAAGCTGTAACAGGATGGGTGTGATGCTAGATTCCAATCTAGCACACAAAAAAAAAAAAAACATCCTCAAATCCTCAAGAACGCTGCATGTCACATGAGTGGAGTCTTCTGTTCATTATACTTCTCAGAAAGAGTAGAAGTAAAATGTCTAAAACTGCATATAAAAACTGAAGGCGTTTTTCCGCCGGACAGTGCAGCACAACACGGTGCGGTTACAAATCTGAATTCAGAGCTATCTGTATATCTGGATTAATTTCCTATCACACAACAAAACCGTGAAAGCAGGCGGGGTTCTCTGGAGGTTGTCTGTGGTTGAATGATTTCGTCGGGACCAAGAGCTATTTTCTTCCTTGCCCAAAGCCCCGACATATGATGGTTTTTAAAATCTAAACTATTCTGTGCTGTGGTTTTGTTCTAATTATTGTCTTAATCACTTACAAAAATAAACAAAAATAAAATAAACAAAAATAGAAGGGGTATTCAATCAAAAATAAAAAAGAATAAAAGACTATCAGCCGCTGAGTTCTTGTGGAAGGGAGAAAAAGGCTTCTTCTTTATTTCAGCATCAGGTGGCACAGGGTCTCGAGAGACCCAACTGCGCAAATACAGTGTCCGAAACACTGTATTATACACAGTTTATACCATTTATCTGGGGTAGTTTGATATCCCCCCACCTTACTTCTCAAATTTTGATATCAGCTCGTTCTCTAATAGGTGCATCTCTTTGTCTATCAATCTGGTCATCGCATGATGAGCTCACTCCTAAAAACTGGCTTCAACAGGTTTTTACCAGCCTGCTTTACCTTTCAAGGTCAACTTGCCCCTCTCTTCACTGGGTCAGTTGGTACACACAGGCCTCTCTGTGAACCCAGGGGCTTTCCAGTGTCTAGAATCTCCTATGCAAACAGACTAAGGCCTCCCTTTGTGAGAGAATTAATATCCTCTGTTAGGCAAAACTGCCTATTTGGTTATTGATTACAATATCTAATCTATTTGATTACTGATTAAGGGAATATTCATTCAAAATCTCTGTCAATTTCTCATTTTTTTTAGCACACAAAGACACACAGACACAGACAGACACAGACACAGACAGACACAGACACACAGACACACACACACACATTTTCTACACCGCTAATCCTTCTGGGCCGCGGGGGGAACTGGAGCCTATCCCAGCGGTCATTGGGTGGAAGGTAGGAAACACTCTGGACAGGTTGCCAGTCCATCACAGGGAAGATCATACAGACATACATATTCACACACACATTCACACCTAGGGGCAATTTAGTGTGACCAATTGGCCTGACCGCATGTCTTTGGACTGCAGGAGGAAACCCACTCAGACACAGGGACAACATGCCACACAGAAAGGACCATGGTTGTCTGGCCGGGAATCGAACCCAGGCCCGTTTTTTAGCATTTATTGCCAAATTTCTGGTATAATTAAATGGTTAAGATGTAAGCAAAGTCATTCAGAGCGGTTTGGTGTAAAATGCTCTGTTCTAGAGAAACGTAGAGTCAGGACTGTTCACAGGAACCAGACATCCACCTCTAAAAGCTCCCTCACAAATAAACTTTCACACAAATGGTTTATCAATACACTGCCTGACACCTGAGACATTGTTTTACAAAGCTTTTGACATCAAAGTTTGGCCTAAAACATGTTTCTTACAACACATTAATGTTGGAGAGGTACATGCAAGGCATTGTTTGGCAAACTAGTCCCAAAAGGAAAAAAGAAAGATTTTTTTAATTTAAAATTTACTACTATAAAACTCAAAAGACATGTAGGTTTACTGGTGATTTTGGATAGTAAATAAAATGTCTATATTTGTGTTGTAGTCATGGCGACCCCTGGCTCCTTTCACCACCACTGTTAAAGTAATCCGAGGCTCTACAATCAACCATTTCACACCAAACCACTCTGAATCACTCTGTTTACATCTCAAACACTGAATTATGGGGAGATGTGGAAAGGTCCCATTTAATAGTGGACACAAACAGCAGCATCAGCAACGGACGAACTTTAAGTTCTGCAACAGTGGTCGTCTGACTCAAGTGACGACATGCAAGACTTCTATGACGACTGTGGTTGATGAATCCATGGTCTGCACTATTTTAGCTCTAAACATACATCACACTTGGCACAAGAGCAGTAAATGAGACAAAATCTAACTGACGACGTGTTTACGGATCTGTAACTGCACCACGGTGGTGGAAAAACATCATAATAGCTTAACAGCCCTAAACTAGTACTATGCAAACAAATAAAGCTATTTTAGTGGCCATCAGAATGCACGGTCATTATTATGCCTTGTTTGGTTAATGGTCAGTGTTCATTTCCCTATTTAGGCTGGTAGAGCAGGAGGGAGACAGTCAGAGAGACGTTCGAACCTCTGCTTGCGCAGCTGCATGTCCTCCATGACGCTGTGGATGTGGTCGATGTTCTCTTTGTTCTCAATCTGCATGTCTTTTCCGTAGAACCAGGATGACTGGTTTGAGATCTGCTCGAGCAGCACCTGACCCTTCTCTCTCAGGCTCTGCAGAGCTCCCTCTGAAACGCGTCAACAGGAGACGGGTCAACAGGGAGAAGGACGCTTATTTCAGTTAGAGACATTAAAGGTTACAGATGATCTTCATGCAACATCTACCCAATGTTGCAGCTGCAGATAAATCTGAATGCAACATTTGTTCCACTGGACATCTCAAAACTGCCTCAAGGCATTATCTGAAAGTGACCCCAGCGTTTTATGGTTTTTTCCTAAGCTTAAATGTCATTAGATCAACTTTGAATTCATTTCGAATAGTCTTTACTGTAATCAAAATACTACAAACAAATAACAAATAAATATTCAAATTGATGACGGTGCATGAATTTATATTCAGGACAAAAAAAACGATGATTGTAAACAATATTTTCGGAAACAAAAGCTTTTATTTAGTGAAAGGTAGAGTTGGAACCACAATGTTTATATTACTAGGTTACTATGCATTTCTTGTTACTGGATTGTCTGTCCTTGTTAATGCATTTCAGCCCATCAGCTGTGTTGTGCTAAGGGAAGGCAGGGTCTAAATAGCCCTATCTGACAGAACTAAATTTTTAACTTGAGCAATTCCATATGGTCTTCACAATTATTGTAAATTAATAATAAAAGAAGTTAAAAGTTAGAAGAAAGGGAAAAAAAAATTCTTTGAGTAGGTGTGTCCAAACTTTTGACAGGCAGTAGTCATATGCAAAAGTTTGGGCAGTAATTGTGTATTAAAATGTGCAGGAGTGTGTCTCTGTAGAGGATGTGTAACTTATTTTTGCTTAGGAAATCAACAAAACATGATTTGACCAGGGTGCCCAAACTTTTGCACGTTACTGTAGCGGTTTTAAACAGTGCTTATTTCACTATGAAATACACAGTATATCCCTTTTATTAAGTCTATAAAGTATAAACTCCAAAAAGACGTTGGTTGAAAAGTGTAATACAACATCAGGTGATTTATGTTTTATTACTGCTTTATAAACAATAAAAATGGGTCGTCTGATTTTTGGTGTGAAAAACAGTGGAAAGCCAGATCAAACACAGCCAGAGTGTTAATTAAATCCATTATTTGCATTGGTTACGTTACATATTTTTCTGTATGGCTGAATTAAAAAATGCCTATCCAGTTTAATGAAGACGTTCTTACCAACACTCTTCAGTTTCTCCTCCAGATGTTTCAGTGTTTGCTGAATGGCGGCTCCGTCAGCAGGAGCAACGTCTGCACAGAGCATGCCCAGTAGACCGTCCAACTGCTGGGACAGCTGGGAAAATTATGACACTGGTGTTAGCACAGCAGCTACGTATTCTGGGATGTGCCTTCAGTTTTTAATAGAAATCATCGTAACAGCCAAAATAAATCAGATTTAGTATTTTTTTTACTAAAAACAAAACTTTACAATACATAAATAAACCTGTCACTATTGCTTTCACTTGCAAACGTGGAGCTGCTGCTCCGAGTCTGCGCCCCTCAAACACGACTTGATTCTCTCTCCAACTGTCCACTCCGACTGACTAGAGCCAACCAGCACAGACTCGGCCAGACTGAGAATCGGGGCTAAAATCGGGGTGAAAGTCGTGTAATGTAACCCCGGCTTTAACAGTGGAGTATTATTCTGGGATGCCCCTTCACTGTTTAATTCTCCTTACTGGCAGCAGATTCGTCCTCGCTTCCGCCCTCCCCAAACAAAATGAACATCTCTTCAAATTTACACAATTCACACCAATGACTTTTTTATATTATTTTGCCAAAAGGTGTGTAGTTTCCATGTATGTGCTACATAATGAGATTATGATATGCTGTGCAATATGTTAAAAACAAACTGATGAAGCTCTGGGAGTTATGATTAAAAACGGTCTTGCATTATTTTGTCCCAAACGGTTTATGTTTGTTGGAAAACGAGAGGATCTTATTTGATCAAAACACTGAAACTGATCGGTTTGTATGCTTGCATCAAATAAAATCATGGCTGGTTAGACGGTTCAGGCTTTGTTAATGTATCATAATACTTATTTATGACTCCTGATGTTAAAAAGAGAGACACATACGTCCTGGGCTGTGCCATGGAAGTCGTGTGCGGACTGCAGGACGTTCTGTCTGAACTCCAGCTGGCTGGCCTGCCTGTAGCACACGTCGCTGAGCTGCTGCTGCAGAGCCTTCAGCTCCAACAGATCCTCATCATCACCTGCACTCAACAGCGCCGCCATCTGCTGGTTCAGCTCCACATACACCGCAAACCATTCCTGCAGGAGATCGAACACACTGTTTAACTAACAACATTCAACTCGATTTGATTTATACAAAACCCTTACAACAGATGACGCCCCGAAGAAGCTTCACAGAAATGAAATTTACAGACATGCAGCCCCTTAATGAGCATCGGCTGAGTGTCCGAAAAACTTCATAAGAGCATGAGGAAGAACCACTGAGAGGAACCAAGACTCAAAAGGACAAACTCCTTAAGAGCATGAGGAGAACCATTAAAAGAAACCAAGACTCAAAGAAGAATCCATCCTATTCTGGGCTGCAGCAGACAGCACAGTTAGGTAGGAGTGAACCGATGCAACTTTTTTCTCTCCCAATACTGATTCCCATATCTGAACTATTGACAAATATCAAGTACTAATCCGATAAAGATTAAGGCACTCTGACTGTATTAGTGAAGAGGGTTGGCGAAATGAATGGATTAAGTGGAGTTGGGGGGGGTGGGACATGGGAGCATATGAAATTCTGCTATGGGGTGGGGGAGCGAAACTAGTGACCCAAGTGAAATCTGAAAAGTGCTACAGCATTTACACACAGCATTATCACAGAGGCAAACAACAAAACTGTAACAATAAAAAATACATCTAACCCCATTTATGTCCTGAACTCAAGGCCCAGCTCTAAAAGTCATGGTTTGCCACTAGTGAGTAACAAGAGTAGATCACTTAGCTTGTGATTATTCTTAGTGGTTCCAAATGTAAATATCCAAAATTTCAGAAAGGAAAAGATAAAAATAAGGATAAACTAAAATTTCAACCACCAAAACATTTTGGTGGAAAATACTGGGGATAAATAAAAAAAAATAATGCACTTTTGGTTTTTGGCTGAAAAAGCTGAAGAAATCTGGGAAAAAAACAAAAGAATAATTAGGATTAGAATAAAGCATCAAATGTTAAGATTTTACAAATATGTTTAAGGGTAACAAAAATGAGAAAGTGATCAAAAATGCTGTTTGTCCTCTTCGCTCTCCTGAGCCGTTCAGTGCAGACGCATTTAAACGTTTTGAGCTGCAGCCGATCAACAGTGGAGAAACAAGTCAGTTCACTGGACAAGAGGTTGAGAATCTCTGCTGATGAGTCAAAGTATTACTAAATAAATTCATTGCCTTGGATAACCAACCATTTGTTGGCTCTGTTGAGGATGTTGGACCTTGTGAAGAAGAAGTGAAACAAAAACAATAAGAAAATAAAGAAAAAAGAGAAATCCCACACACTGAATCGTGCTCAGAACAGTATCTACGCTGCCTGCCAGGTATTATTATTCTGGAAAAAGTGCTGAGTCTGAAAACCACAGAGCAGCTCAGCACTTTAAACAGTAACAGCACCGTGACTATCACAGTCTAACAGCACAGAACCAATCACTCCCAGAACACTGTTACTCACCGACTGCTCGGTTTACCACACCAACAAAACCCACCAGCATGAAAAGGCCTATAAATGCACTATCAGAGCCTCCAGAAGCCACAAACCACTCCTTGAGACTCACTCCAACAGAAACAACCTGACACAAACCTGATACTGACCACAAATAACTCTTAACAATTCTGGTGGACTGACTGTTGGTGAGGTGAAGCAGCCACAAACCACGGTTCCACAGTGCAGAACACAGACTGTGCGGTACACAGCCAGGTCTCAAAGTTCTCATCACAGCTCCAAATGGCACACAGAGAGACTGAGCACTTAAACTAACTTGTAAATGAAGTGTAAAACATGTGCAATTGCTTGTGCATTCATGTGCAAAACGTTTTAATAAACATTGATTTGATTATTTCTTCCAGAAGTGCAACACTGCCACCTGTTGGCCGGACACAGCGGAAAAACACCATGTGACCCAAGATCACCACAACCCTGAAGCTCTTCAGCAGGGTGTTATCTGAGAAATGAGAGGGAGAAAAGAAAGAAAGAAAAAAGGAGATGACAGAAGTAACAGATAGAAGAAAAAGGAGAAGAGAGAAAAAACAGCGGCACAAGCCACGTTTACATTCAGCCTAATAATCTGTTAATAATCCTACTAACACCTCAATCTGTATAGAATACATTCAGGCATACACGTTCGGAATCAGAACAGACTAGTCCGATTGAGGCTATTCAGAATGCAGCTTCTATCTGAACGAGGTGGATAATCCTGTAAATAATCCTTTAACCAGAGGAATAATATCCGTGTAAACTCCTGTATCTGATTACATTCCCTATCGGAAAGTTTAAGTCCGTTCTGATCATGTTCGTCTCGTCATAGTGAAAGTTTATACCGTTCAACATGGCGGAGCAGAAACTGGTCTGCAGAGGAGACGAAGTTTATGCTCTGACGAACGTCCAGCTTACGTGTCTCAGAACACGACGTCTTCCTCTCGGCCTTCTTTAATAAGGACATGTGAAGGACGTTTTCCTGAGTCTGACATCATTTTAAAGTAATTAAAAACACAAGCGCTGCTCACTGCTGCTCATTTCACTCTGACTGGACTTGTGTAATTTTGGATCGGATTACTTGTAGTGCAAATGTAAACAGAAATCTTCTATCAGATTGTTGAGTAGAGTGAGCACATAAACACCTCAGTCTTGATATATAATCGGAATGTATTCAGTCAGATTGACAAAAATCTGCATATAAACACAGCCACAGAGAGATTAAGAGAAAGAAAAAGAGAGAAAGCAAGAAATAAAGACAGAAATAATGCGAGAAAGATGAAAAGCAAGTGAGTGGCAAGAAATAAAGAGCAAGAAGAGAAAATAAAAGAGAAAGAAGCAGAAAGAAATGACTAGAGAACGAGAGAGCAAGAGAGAATGTTCTGATTCTGACTATGAACCCAGTGTTATTCTTCCTCTACAAATGACAGCTCATCCCATTACATCTGCTTTTACACTGTACGAGTTTAATTAAAAGCTGCATTAATCAGTTGTGCCTTCTCTCGTGGTTAATTCTACTAATTACACATCTGACCCCACACAACCGCTCCTCTGTTTACTGTTAATGTGTCCACAGATATTTAACCACTGAACCCAGAGCACTCAGACACAGCAGCCACGAGCTACTGAACATCACTGTAACAGCCAGCGCACTCTGTGGACACTATCCATCATTTAAATGTGATAACAGCATAAATATATTGAGATCTAGTATTGGTCATTATGTGCGGTCATTTATCTTCACTGTTGTGATGCTGCAGGCGGAGGATAAACAAACAGTTTACGAGCGAGAATCGAATTACAGTCATTTGTTTTCCCGTGTAAAATCAGGGGAAATTAATCTGCTCATTCTGTTGCTATAAAGGCTCCCAGACTCACACTTTTTCAGACGGTTAAAATGCAATAAATCCTTCAAGATGCTGGTGTCGTTTTATTCATAAGGCAATAAAAGTTTAAATGGCCCGGTGCTCTATAATGTCAGTCACTCCTGTGAAACAACCTTGGAGAAAGACACAGGACAGGAACTCCAGTTTCCAAAGACTTTTCAAAACCAGTGACCACAATCCAGCAGGCTGTCGGAATTTCCCAAGGTTGACTTTTTGTAGTAGGACTACAAACACATTGCCTTTATATTCCTCAGCACTCAGTTTTATGATCATTAAAGCATCTTACTAGATATAAAGAGCAAATATGGCATGTATTAATGTCTATTGCATAGAAACGGATTGGAAGAACATCAAGATTTATGTATTACATACACCAACCAGCCATTACATTAAAACCACCTCATTTTTACACTCATTGTTCATTGTATCAGCTCTACTTACCATATAGAAGCACTTTGTAGTTCTACAGTTACAGACTGTAGTCCATCTGTTTCTCCATCTTTCCCTGCTTTGTTACCCTGTTCTTCAGTGGTCAGAACCCCCACAAGACCATCCACAGAGCAGGTACTATTTGGGTGGTGGGTCATTCTCAGCACTGCAGTAACACTGACGTGGTGGTGGTGTGTTAGTGTGTGTCGCACTGGTGCAAGTGGATCAGACACAGCAGTGCCGCTGTAATTTTTAAACACTGTGTCCACTCACTGTCCACTCTATTACACTCCTACCTTGTCAGTACACCTTGTAGATGTAAAGTCAGAGACAATAGCTCATCTGCTGCTGCACAGTTTGTGTTGGTCATCCTCTAGTCCTTCATCAGTGGTCACAGGACGCTGCCCACAGGACGCTGTTGGCTGGATATTTTTGGTCGGTGGACTATTCTCAGTCCAGCAGTGACACTGAGGTGTTTAAAAACTCCAGCAACACTGCTGTGTCCGATCCACTCAGACCAGCGCAACACACACTAACACACCACCACCACCACATCAGTGTTACTGCAGTGCTGAGAATTACACTATGTAGTAAGTGGAGCTGATAAAATGGACAGTGAGCGTAGAAACAAGGAGGTGGTCATAATGTTATGCCTGATCGGTGTGTGCACATTTTATATATATATATATATATATATATATATATATATATATATATATATATATAAAATTTTCCTATGCTGTAATGCTGTAAGATACGTTTCCTAAATTAAGATAAGATTTGCTTCTTCAATTTGAATTTGTGAAAAAATATTCTATTGTTCTATTTTAAGAATTTATAAGATTTATTAAGGAACTTTGGGAATCCTGAACAGCTTTCCTTTGTAAACTATTGTTAAAAGCATATACTGAACCTCTTCTGGCCCAAAAGTGGCTTAAACGACTGAACAATGGCAGCACATTCTCTGGCCACAGGAAACTAAGACTGCTTGTTTGGATCAGATGGGTATGAGTATGTTTGGTGTGGACCTGGACAAGACTGTCACAACTGTGAAACATGGTGGAAGTAGTGTTAATATAGGGTTGTGTGAGTTCAGCAGGTGAAGGAGAGGTGACTTTTACAGACAGCATCACGAATGCTAGTGTGTACACCAACATACTGACTGAAAAGATGATTTCCACTCTCAAGAGGCAGGGCAAGAAAGAAATTTTCTAAAAGGACAATGATCCTCAACACACTGCAAAAAGCACACAAGCATTTATTTATATAGGAAGAAAGTGAAACAGTAATTAACCTGACCTGAATTGCTAAGAAACACCTTCAGTGAATCTTTAAGCACAAAGTTGAAAAGCAGAAGAGAGTATATCGTATGTGTATTTTTACATCTCTAGTTTTCCTATGTTAAGTCACTGAAAATTAAACAAAACATGCTCATTTGTATTTTATTTGTATGCAACACTTTTTAAAGACAAACTTTTGATGTGAGACGTTTGTGTCCCAAACTTTCTCTGCCTTCATGCACACATGTAACCCACTCCACAGCTCTGTACTTACACTGTGTTGGCTCTCTATCTCCTCATGCTTCAACAACAGGGCCTGTGACGCTCTGATGGAGTCTCCGATCCCCCACTGAGTCCGGAGCTGCTCCGTACCAGGACCTTCCAGCCAGTTCACAACCTGCACACAAACAAACACACAAAGCACAGAACAATTACAAAACTGCGGAGTCTCTTCAAAAGACATCATTCACTCCTCAGTCCATATGCAAGCTGCAAAAGCTGCCTGGTCTAAATGCAGTTTTTGTGATGCCATGAAATCCAACACGTTTGCCTATTCAGGATACAGCAGTTTAGCCCCGCCCATTCACGCAGAAGTTACAGTGTTTCAACCTTTTGCACGGAGGCACGATACGGGGCAGCCAATCAGCACAGAGCTCATTTACACAGATCAATCTTAAAAACACAGTAACAACAACAGCCTGTTTATTTCTAAGGGATAAAGAGAGGTGGAGAAATCTAAGAATGAATTATAACTTTTTTTGGTATATAAAACCACAGTCATCATCAGTGGGTCTCAGGGGAAAAATATAATAAAATACAAAGAAAATGTAGGATACAGTCCTTTAAAGTGTCAGTATTGGGGCTCTTAAAAAACTATAAACAAACAAAACACAACACCAGAAGTGAAATAGCATGACAACAAAGTGGAACATTTTTGTTTGTTTTGTTTTTAAACCAAATTTAAACATTATGAGAATATTTCTGTTTGAGACAAATGGCAAAAATAGACCACAAGCCTAAAACTGCACTGGTTCAAAATAGGGCTGAATGATTAATAGTTTTTAACATCGAAATCGCAATTTAAAAGACCGCAATTTTCAAACTGCAACAGCTGCAATTTTAATTAAAGCCATCGTTTATTTAGAATGTTGTCTTAATTGAGGAACATTAACCTAATATCACAGCTTGTCAACTACCTGTACATGAGTTAGACCAATCAGAAGCAACCAAACAACTATATGCTGTGACATCACAACCACAACTAACTGGCAGTCTAGCATGGTCAGCGTTCAAGTCTCAAGCCTGAAAAAGTGGATGTTCTGGTCTTCTTGGACAAAATAACAGGCCTGGATTTCAACTTACAGAAAAAAAAAATCGCAATTTAATTCACAGCTGCAATATCGATCAGGAAAATCGCAATTAGATATTTTTCCCAAAATCGTTCAGCCCTAGTTTAAACCTACGGTTGATTAAGATGCAACAGTTGAATAACACATTTCTACAAGCAGTGTGGTATGTTGTGTGCGTACAGTTTATGTTTTAAATGCTCTTCACCAGGTGTGCAGGTATGCTTGGTTATAGCAGTGATGTGTCTAGCGATGCAGTTGGCATGCTAACATCAGTGTTGTGGCTATCACTGCAGCCCTAACTACAAGCACAGACTCACACCAACACACTTAATGACCTAGCACCTCACAAACACCCCCAGCTACCGTACAGACCTCCAGAAGCAAATTGAGAACATGATTATCTAATGACGGGAATCATGAGGGATTCAAATTAGACGTCTACTTGCCACTTAAATTACACTGTAAATGAGTTTTTAACACATACTTTTCATAAGAGACCAGTGTAAAGCAGCCAGCGCGGTATTCTTAATGAAACCAGATCTACTCTGAGTAAACAGTCGGTGGAGAAACGCTCCCAGAGCAGATCGGGTGGAGTTAATGAGAAGAAATCTCTTGAGATGTTCTCTCAGGTATGAAATTCACATCTGTGAGTTCATATGGGAATTCCACTTGAGTGGACAAATTAATTTGCCTGCTGTTGCTGAATGATTGAGGGTGTGCAAGTAAGTGGGCTGCAGTGGTCAATGTGCTGAGTGAGGACAGTAATGGATCTGTCCACTGCTGACAGGAACATACACATTCCTGAAGCATCGCTGGTCTGCTTGCAGGACAATTATTCAGCCTGCAAGGCAAGACAAAGAATCAGGCCAAACGCCACCTGCAAAACACGCACAGCGTCAGATACAAAACCAGGGAGTATCAGCAATGGATCCTCGTTTTTCACATTTTTCTATGGTCCCGCTGACCCACCTACACTCTCAGACATAAAGGTACGAGAACTGTCACTGAGGCAGTACCCTTCTCGTTACCTCAAGGGTACATCTCAGTGCATAACTGTACCATAATCCACTGAAACTATATTTTCTAAGTTGTATTGACTCCACACACCCCGTCTCGACTCCAGGCTTTTTATTTTATTGTTCTGTTTTAAAACATTCAGTTATAAAAAGGTATAAATACGAACTTTTCACCTGAAAAAACTTTTTTAGGTTCACAATCAGACCTTAAAACCACTGTTGTACCTTTGAGGGAACATTTACATTGTTTGTACCTTGATGAATGAAAAATGTACCTGAACAGAACCTTTATTTCTAACAGTGCACATCGTTTTTAGGACTTCATTATTTGGCCATTATAGCGCCATTTGTGAATTGTCTGCACTGCCACTGATAGTAAAAAGACATACTTCTGTAACCCAGCGATCATGGCAGGCTACAAAGAAATGCTCAAAGCTCTAGAAAAACCTTGTTGCAAGTTAATTTGTTAAACAGAAAAATCGCAATTAGAAGTAACTCGACGACACCGCTTCAAAGACGTTAATCACAGTGTTGGGAAAAAGAACTGATAGTAAAGGACTAATTCAATTTTAAACAGCTTGCATAATAATAATAATAATAATAATAATAATAATAATAATAATAATAATAATAATAATAATAACAACAACAACAACAACAACAACAACAACAACAACAACTATGTACATGTAATGTTTTATTCACTTACTGCTAAAACAGTGGATTATTATGGGACATTAATAATCCATTATTCTAAGCTACAGTAAAAGTCTCTGCTGTGGGTTTTCTCAGCATTTTCCATGCAGTTTCAGCATCCTGATGAATCAGATCAGTTGAAGAATTAGGAAAACATAACATTCCATGGCTTTCCGTAGGCATCCCTAACTGAATTCTAGAGCCCCTCCTCTATAAGGATGGAAATTGCCTCCTTTTGTAAATAATTCATATGGAAGGGGCTTTGGATTCGTTTAGAGCACGAATTGAGGTCTGAAGTTTCCCCAGCAAGGGGTGCTTTTGGCACACAAGTCACCATGAACCCACATCAGCAGGAGCTCACGAATGGACGTGTTTGCAAGAACAACTTTCAAAGCGTGACATCGAATAGTCTTCAAAAAATGTCACTCAGTACTACATTTAGTGCGGTTTTCATTAAACGTTTTCATTAAGTCAGTTAATTACGAATTAAGAACAAAGTGCAGTTCAGTAAAAGCTGTGGTTTTAGTTTATTGCCATCTTTACTCGTCTTTTATACTTCATTTGGCCATGAATAAACGTTGAATGTCACACAAAATGTTACCATCAGAGAGTTTGTGGCCGCTCAGCGTACCCTGCCTTCTTCTCTGAAGCTATTTCACTTGAGATTGTTTGAAACAACTCACTTCTACTGATGAAAAAGCTGAGGAGTGTTTTTACTCTTGTTTTTTCAGTCATTTTTGGTCTGAAATCTGACACTGTGGTGTGATGACACTATAATGGACACCGCACCACAGAGGCAGCTTTTTCTACAGACATGATATCTACAACAATCTCATCTATATCACATACAAAAAAATGTGGTTTAAATATAGAAAATCAAATCACTGAATATGTTTATGTTCTAGTATAGGAATACTATGCTACGGCAATCAATCAAATCAATCAATCAATAAATAGCTAGCTAGCTATTGTCGGAACAAAACCTCATCTCTCCAAAACGGTAACTTTACAGGAGAAGGAACATTATTTTTAATGCAAGTCAATGGAACCAGACATTTTTTCCAAGTAATTTTAGGTCATTTCTTTTAGTTCATTTATCATGAAATTTACATACATTGCAAAGGGCAACAGGCATTTTCGAATTATATCAAAAACTGAAAAACGTCAAAATGGAGATACAAGGTTTTGTTCCGACAACAGCGAAATAAATAAATAAATGAACAGACTTGTTTTTAACTGATTGTAAATACATTTTTACCATCACTGGGGGCTGTTACCACGGTAACCCGATTAACCGTCTTTAGGCCTATGCTAATTATTTCTTAAATGTCGCCCAGGCATATTATACACACACACAGAGAGATGCACAACCCACATGTTTTGATCACCACAGCAACAAACATTTCATTTAGTCTGACAAGGGTGTTTTTGAAAATCTTCTAAGAGCCACTCGTGTCCTCTGAAGACTGAAGGCCTGATTCGACCTCGGACAGCTCAGTGTTTACACTCACATGTTCTGACTCCTGTTCACTTCTCTTAAAGAAAACAGCAGCTTTAAAAAGCGGTGTGATGAAAGCGGTGTTGACGTTTTAATATCTGCAGAGTTCAGACTCTGGTGTCAGGTGTCATCAAAGACTTACCGCTTCTTTATTGAGCTCAAAACCACCAAGACGACGACAATGAGAACACAACACAGCACTACAGCTCATATTTAACTGGAGCCGTCACGCTCTACACCCCATTAAACCCATGAAATCATAATACCCAGTGATTAATGCAGCTATGTTTTAAACAGCAGCCAGCAGTTCTCCCTTTAGCAACCTGATCTTCAGAGGGAGTTTGGTTTATAACCCAACAGCCTGAAAGTGAATACAAAGTCATCAAAGAAGGATGACCTTCACTGTGGAAACAAGTGATCTAGCTGTGAAAAAGGCAATAAGTAACTGCTATAAAGATTACAACACGAACACTACATCATGACCATGAATACCAAGACTTGTGGAGACAGTATCTCGATCCTGGAATAACAAAAGCACTTTAGAAGAAAATAAGGTGCTTTTTTGGTTTAAAATAGAAAAAAAGTCTAGCTATTCATTTTGCTATGTCAGGCAAACAGAAGCAGCAAACATACACCAATGAGCCACAACATCATGACCTCCAGCCTAATATGCTTTTTTGTCCTCCGAGTGAAGTCAAAACAGCTCTGAGCTGCTGAGTCATGAACTCTGTAAGACCTCTGAAGACGCCCTGTGGTATCTGGCACCAAGACAATAGCAGCAGATCCTTTAAGTCCTGCGAGTTGCCAGTCGCAGATTGGACTTCTTGCTCCAGCACATCCCACAGATGCTCCACCGGATTGAGGTCTGGGGAGTTTGGAGGCCAGGGCAACACCCTGAACTCTGCATGTTCATGAACAGCAGTGTGGCAGGACTAATAATCCAGCTGAAAGAGGCTACTGTCATCAGGGAACCCCACTGCCATGAAGGAGTGTACCTGGTGTACAACGATATTTAAGCAGGTGGAACGTGTCAAAGGCTACGTTCACACAGCAGGTAAAAGTGGCCCGAATCTGATTTTCTCACCAAATCCGATCTTTTTGGTTTGGCTGTTCACATTATCTTTTAAATGTGATCTGTATACGACATCAGTCTGAGCAGATCAGCTCCTAAACCGACCCGCATGCACAAAAGATCAATGCTTCACGCTGCTTCATGCGGCTCATCCAAAGGTAAACAATCACGACTGCCAACGAACGCCAGTCGCTCTCATTGAGTTTCATCTTCACCAGCATTACAGGAGCCATCATGAAGCTTCAGTGTCTGACAGCTGGGCTCGTCATCCAGAATGTGTTCAAGCTCACAGTAAAATGGCTCGGTCACTTCTTTGGTTTGTGTCATCGGATTCTTTCAACTTTTTTTTTGGACGCTGCAGCCTCGCTCTCCTGCCTCGCTCTCCTGCGGCCGCGTTCACCCATTTCTTTCAAAACCTCTTTGAACATGGAGCGGCTGTGATAAGCCTCTTCTAAAGCTTTGGTACAGAGACATCGCCTAACAGCGCGAAATTGTGATGATTGTCGAGTTGAAAGGACGTGTAGCTGTCAAGAAGCCGTTAAAAGCAAGTAGAAAAATAAACATTTGCACTAGAACAATCTAAGATTTGCATTAAGGTTTTATGGACTGATACATTTAAATCTGTAATTGGGATTACAAATTTCATTTGGACTGTGAGAAGCAAAAACAACGCTAACCAACTTGGAGGTGTGGAAAATTATCCCTGCAGATTTCTTTGAAAAACTGAAAGTAAGTCTCTTAAAAATAATGGAAGCTGTTATAAAGAAGCAACACAATACATATTGAAACAATTGATATTAAATTCAGTTGCTGAGACTTTTTTTGAGAAATTTGCAGTGAACAATTTTAAACCCATCATTTAATAAACGTCAAAGCTTCAATCTAACACCAATTTCCAAATATTAAACGGCGCTGATAACCAAGAGAGTGTAACTGGTTAGAGTTAGCTTAGCCAGCATGCCGTCAGCTCTGCTCACCACAGAACAGGTTCGATTCTGACTCACAAAATCTTTACTGACACAAATTTGGATGATAATGACTCGGCTCTGAGGAAGCGAAGTCGCATGGCTGATGTTAGACGGACAGAAATCCGATATGTATCCGATCTGCGGCATTGTGACTCTGTCTGAACAGCCAGATCGGAATTCATGCGACTTTTACGTCATTACAGCTCGACATTCATCATAATTACGCGCTGCTGAGACTCAAACATTTAATCCGATGTTTCTGTACCAAAAAATTTGAAGAGACTCATCAAACCGTTCCGTGTTCAAACGGAATGGCCGAACGCGGCCGGAGGAGACTGAGGCTGCAGCGTCAGAGAAGAGTTTAAAGAATCTGAGGACGCGAACCAAAGAAGTGGCTGAGCTGTCAACCACTGGAACTTCACACTCGCTCATGCGATGCTGGCGAAGACGATACTGAAAGCTACGGGAGCGACTGGCATTCGCTGGCTGTCATGACTGTTTATCTTTGGACAAGCCGCCACGTGAAGCACTGTTCTTTTGCGCATGCAGGACGTTTTAGGAGCTGATCTGTTCAGACTGATGTCGCACACAGATCACATTTAAAAGATAATGTGAACAGCCAAACCAAAAAATTGGATTTGGTGAGAAAATCAGATTCGGACCACTTTGCTACCTGCTGTGTAAACGTAGCCTAAGACTAAAAAAATAAATAAAAAAAACAAACACAACAATACACAAACTTCAAAATCAGTTAAAGAGAAAATCAGAAAACAGAGCCATGATTCAAGAAGCAGTGTGATTTTCTAATTTCTGCCTGTGTGAGCTTTTATCACTCTCGAAGCCGCATTCTGTACCATCAGTTAATTACCACGTTTATCAATCAGTTAATTATCGAGCATGTGCATTCGAGCAGAGAGAACGAAGCCCTGCTGGATTACAGCTGGAAAAGTTTTACTTTGAGAAACCTGAACTATACAAACTCTTCAGAAAGCACTTGTGTAACACAGCATTACTTAACCTTGAGTATGTTGCCCACACAGCAGGCATTCATCTCCTGGGAAACAAACTTACTGTATCTTTATAAGATGTCTACAACATCTGGCCCAATAGACCTTTTTCCACAGTCACATCCAGCTGTAAATAGTAGCATTATCAAACTTCCGCCTATACAATTTAACAGAGCGGCAATAGAGGGTCGCCCGTTTTCAGCCTCTCTCAAAAATCGTCCTTCGGCCTCAGGGCGGTTAATAGGAGAGCAGCTGGCATGTATGGTAGCTCCTCCGACATGAGCGGTCTGACGTGGCCAAAGCACGTCGTGCAAAACTTAAAAACATTTGAGCTCTGTATGAATCTGCGCGTATGCCACGCATCCCACGTCTGAAAGCGCACCTCCGTGTCAGAGCAGCTGTGTTCAGAAGGCGGAACGTATTCCGCAAAAATCCCTGTCTGAACCACGAGGAATTTGCCAGAGACAGGTTATGCAAAGCAGAGAAGGAGCCGAGTGGATCTCTATGTTCAACACCACATCACACATCCCTAAACAGAACTGCACTCATTGCGCTTTATTTTGGAGGAGAAAGGTTTAGTTTCTCCTACTCAGCCCATGTAAACATTAGCAACATTAGCACGTGCCCTGAACACCATAACCAGCACAGAAACACAGCATCGTATTTCTACATTACAGTAAACTGATCACCGAGCTGCAGTGGAGAGGAGTCAGTTTGTCAAGGTTTTTAATCAAACCTCTGTGATGACCAAATCCAGGATTTTAAACACACCAGTGAATGAATGTTTGTCTTGGAGCATTTTTAATCACAAATGTGAGTAAATCTGTCCTACTGTACAGCCCGGATTCACTCTACAGCTCAGTTTTGCTCTCTTTTTTTTGAGCGGTTGCCTTGTTAAAAGTGGCTCAGAACAAGCAGAGCTTTGGAAACTCAGGTGAGGCTGTTTAGTTGAATTATTGGCGCATTAGGAATGCAGCAATGATTTCAGGCAGAATAAGCCATTGTTCACAGTGCGAACAGAAGCTGCTTAATGCTACTATTCACTCTTCCGCATTAACGAACACAGAAGTGTGAAAATGGTCCATACTACAGAATATGAAAAGAAACAAACAATAAATAACATTTACTACACTTTAAATATTGATTACAGTGAGGAATTTTAGCAGAGAATGCAAGTAAAATAATTTTATGTTTATCAGTTGTTGATCATTAGTTACTGTACATTTTAATACACTAGCAGAATGACAATGGCACCACACTTCTATGGGGTTACTGGGGGGAAACCGTGAGCGGTGGGCTCTCCTCTCCTGACTGAGTTACCTGCATGACCTTGGTCTGGATCTCCTCGAGCTGCGAGCGCTTGCTGCGCTGACGGCAAACCTCCTGGTATTTGGTGTACTGCTCCCTCAGAGAGTCCAGCAGCTTCATCACCTGAGGCTGCGCCAACAGCTCATCGTCCATCGGAGACCAGGCCGTCCCCCCACCACCCCCGCCACCCTCAGAGCCGTTAAAACGTCTCTGCTGCAGCTCAGACAGCAGCTCATGACCTGAGAGAAGAGAGAGAGGGAGGAGAGAGAGTGAGTCACACCTGAAGGACAGTTATTACACAAAGTCATCTATGCTGGACTTAGATATGGATTTGTTTTAATTTGAGAAAAGAAAATAAAAGAAAAGAAAAAATAAGAGCAATAACAAAGAACAGAAAGAAAAGAATAATTAAAAATGAGAATATTGAAGAAAGACAATGAAGAAAGACAGTAAAACAGACCGAGATAGTGTGCAAGAGCAAGGGTGAGAGAAATATGGAAAATCACAGCAAAAAAATAAAAAGAGAGTGCAAGTAAGAGACAGAGAGCAAGAAAACGAGAGTAACAGGGAGCGAGAGAGCAAAAGAGCAAGAGAGCGCAAGAGCTAAGTGAGAGAGTAAGAGTGAGAGCAAAAGATAGAGCACCAGTGAGACAGAGAGCATAAAGAGAGAGAGTGAGGGCAAGAGTGAGTGAGAGCGCGAGAGCAAGAGACTGAGGGAGCGCGAGAGCGAGAGAAAAATGGAAAATCTTGACTGTTCCTAATCATGACTGAGTTCTTGAGAGAAATTTGAAAAGAAAAGCAGTTTAGAAGTGGAGAATTAAGACTAAAACAGGAGAGAGAGAGAGAGAGAGAGAGAGAGAGAGAGATGAAGAGAGGGGGAGGGAAAGAGAAAGAGAGAGGGGGGAGAGGGGGAGAGAAAGAGAGAGAGAGAGAGATGGATGGACAGTGAGAGATGGAGAAATGGAGAGAGGGACAGAGAGGGAGGGAGGCAGAGAGAGAGGGACTGAGAGAGGGATAGAGAGGGAGGGAGACAGAAAGAGGCAGAGAGGGAGTGACAGAAAGAGGGATGGAGAGAAAGTAAGAGAGGGACTGAGAGGGAGCGAGAGGGAGCAAGGGAGAGCGAGGGAGAGAGAAAAAGGCAGAGGGATGGAGAGAGAGTGAGAAAGAAAGATGAAGAAATGGAGAGAGGGACAGAGAGAGGGACAGAGAGGGAGTGAAAAAGGCAGAGAGAGAGAGAGAGAGAGAGAGAGAGAGAGAGAGAGAGAGAGAGAGAGAGAGAGAGAGAGAGAGAGGGGGAGTGTCAGTGACGGATGAGTAAATGGCGCTGATTGTTTGAGTATTCAGCAGCAGCAGCTCTTCAGCTGATTTGTGCGATTCAGTTATTCATAAAACACTCGACTCCAGCAGCGTTTCCTCCACAACAAATCAAACACGAAGCCCTTCAGAGCCTCTTCTGGGCACAAAGCACAACAAACCCCAAACACGCCACGCGTGTGAATGCAGCGCTGGTCCATTCAACCTTTCACAGCTGTCCTCACACAACGTAAACAAACAGAGGACGTGCAGCCTCTTCTGCACTCACTATGCACGGCCTCAGCGCAGGGCATGAGTCACCCGCACTGACAATGGCTTTATTCAGAGCGTGTGACAGTGTAGAGACAGAGATGAGGACACAAAGCTTCCTTCAGTGGACACAGCTCTGTCCTACAGCAGTGCAGCCCAGCAGCTCCACTAACACTCACATTACACTCAAATTACACAGAAAAACAGCACACTATAAAAAAACAGCAGTCAAAACCAAACTGAGTTTCTGTGTTTCTGTATGCTAAAACCAGGGATTAAAACCAATAAAACCCCAAAATGATCCAGGTGTGCTGTAATTGGGTAATTTGGCTAAATTACACTCAATTTAGTTACAATAGTTTGTTTATATGCGCTCTACTTGCACTACCGCTCAACACGACAAAAGTCTGCAATCAAAGAGTCTGTTTACATGCACTCAATAATCTGATCATCATGGGATTTCTGCAGTTATCTGATTATTCAAATGGTCATGTAAACAGCACACTGTGATTTCTTAGATCGGAGTACTGTCTAGAAATCTGATTAAGAAATCTGATAAAGAGCTTGATTTTAGCTCAGTTATCAGATTTCTCAGCGCATGTAAACTCTTACTCTGATTTCTTTCTGATTTCTCAGTCTGTCCATGTGCGGAACAGCCTGCTGTACCGGAAATAAGCGAGCAGCGCCGCTTTTGGAGCGACACTGAAACCAACTACATGCTTGACGAAATGAAGGATTTAAATATTCTTCATTTTATAGATGATGTATGTTCATATTTTCAGGTAAAGCGTCGCGATGTTTTTAAAGAAAAAGCTGCGGCTTGGAGTTTGAGTTTTACATTACATCATCTTCTGTGAGTTTATTGTCGGTTGCAAAGCAGAAATCCGATTACTGTCTGACTCAAGAGCATGTAAACATGTCGATCGGATTACTGACCATCTGATTTTCTGCAGTTATCGGATTATGTAGTGCATGTAAACGCATTCACTGTTTTCAATTTTGTTGCAGGTGCATGTATTAACTGGTTCTTATATAGAGCTAATATTATGGAAATTTGTAGGAAGATGTAGAAATTAAGATTATTTTGTTGACCGGTGCTGTAGATGTTCCTGTAATACCAAACTTCATGTGGCCTTCAGATTAGCTCAAGAACAGCATACAGAGCTTCATGGAACGGGTTTCCATGGCCGAGCAGCTGCATCCAAGCCTTACATCACCAAGTGCAATGCAAAGCGCCGAATGCAGTGGTGCAAAGCGCCGCCACTGGACTCTAGAGCAGTGGAGACGTGTTCTCTGGAGTGACGAATCACGCTTCTCCGTCTGGCAATCCGATGGACGGGTCTGGGTTTGGCGGTTGCCAGGAGAATGGTACTTATCTGACTGCATTGTGCCAAGTGTAAAGTTTGGTGGAGGGGGGATTACGGTGTGGGGTTGTTTTTCAGGAGTTGGGCTCGGCCCCTTAGTTCCAGTGAAAGGAACTCTTAATGCTTCAGCAGACCAAGAGATTTTGGACAATTTCATGCTCCCAACTTTGTGGGAACAGTTTGGGGACGGCCCCTTCCTGTTCCAACATGACTGCGCACCAGTGCACAAAACAAGGTCCATAAAGACATGGATGAGCGAGTTTGGTGTGGAAGAACTTGACTGGCCTGCACAGAGTCCTGACCTCAACCCGACAGAACACCTTTGGGATGAATTAGAGCGGAGACTGCGAGCCAGGCCTTCTCGTCCAACATCACTGTCTGACCTCACAAATGTGCTTCTGGAAGAATGGTCAAAAATTCCCATAAACACTCCTAAACCTTGTGGAAAGCCTTCCCAGAAGAGTTGAAGCTGTTACAGCTGCAAAGGGTGGGCCGACATCATACTAAACCCTATGGATTAAGAATGGGATGTCGCTCAAGTTCATTTGTGTGTGAAGGCAGACGAGCGAATACTTTTGGCAATATAGTGTATATACCAAAAATATTGTTCTTATATAGTAACAAATACCAGATAAAACATCAGGCATTACATCTTTTTAGATGAAGGTAAGCTAATTCATCCCAGCATTGGGCTGTGAAGCAGTGGAACTGCGTTCTCTGGAGTGACTCAACTCCATCCAGTACCTTTAAAACAAGGTAGAGCGACGTTTGTGATGTTTGTGCTGTAGAGCACCTTTGCTAGGCACTCAAAAGACCCCTTTAGTAGCACTCTTTGTTCGGAGCTCTTTTCAATATGGTACTGCTGTTCTTTTCATTTTTGGAGAGCCGTTATTTGCAGTGCAATCATTAACAAAAAAGTAGAAAAGCTTACCAGTTTGGAGGACAGCTTCAGGGTCAAACGAGGGCAGGACATTGCTGTCTGAAGGCCTGCTGGGGTAAAAGAATGTTAGTTTAGCGCAGTACAAGCCCTCCACGCTTGCCCAGAGACTACATCAGTGTTTAAAAGACAGGCTGCTCTGGTGCGGTTTACACCCAGCAAAAACAAACAGCAGGGCTTCTGGGAGACGGCAAACTCAGACATATCGAATCAAATGACTCACATTTAGCTGACTTGATGCAAAAACTACACTACTAATGCAACTACTCAAGAAGACTAATTATGATGTAAATCTCTGTGCACTGCTCTGGAAGGAAAATCAGCAAACCTTTCCACACAATTATTTTCTAACCCCTTCTAAATTGCGCTTGAATTAATGATCATAGTTCAAACATTTTAATCTGGTAAAAACTGGCAGAGAAAACAAGCAAAAGCTGAAGAAATACCTGCAGCACTGTATTTAACAGGGCTGACCGATATGAAGAATCTGTGACTGATATACTGATTTCAAAGAGATACAAATTCAGATGACTGACATTGGCAGATGTAATGTCACTGGAGCTGCGATCACTCATTGATTTAATTAGTAGTTTAAGATCAAAAATGGTTATGAAATTGATTAAGCGAATTTATCACTTCTTCCTATTTATCATTTTGCCATCATCAGAAGCAGTATTTATTATATATTTTGACTTTATTTTTATATATTTATTATATATTAGAATTTCAAATTTAATGTGAATAAATACATGGAATAGAAACAGCAGCAAACTACAGGAGCAACCATGAGCTCTGATCTAAAAGGCAGCATTAATGTTAACATTAACAATTCCAAACTTTGAAAATAAGGTTTTTAACCATAGGTAAAGGAGTAAAGCATAAAAAAAATGTCGACATAAAACCATTTCTGTCACTTTTGTATCGTCTCGCAGACATATATCGGTCCGCTGGCTTGATAAGGTCGGCACCCCACTGACTGTTTGCCACTGCTGGCCCACCCTCGGACCACCCAGATTATTGTCCGGCATGCGAAGTCTAACTAGTTTTTAATCTCCTCAAATAGATTTTAAATGCACAGAGACTTTTATTTTAGAAAATAAACTGAGACAAAAATTACAAACAACAGAGAAAACAAAACAATGACTAGGTCTCATGTAAAATGATGTTACAGTATTGTTGCTGACACAGAGCTAGATTATTTACTAAATCAATAAACAAAGTGTAACTAAAGAAAGAAAGGAAGGAAAATCAGTAAACTGGACTGTTAGTGGAAAATAAGTGATGATAAGTGGAATTTAGTCTAACACTCGGCTTAACCACCAGCGGGACGCCCAGAAAACGCTGCACAAAAGGCCGGCGGACCGCCAGCTTTGCCATCAGTGGGTCAACAGTGGCCCACTATCCTCTTGCTATCAGGGCTCGTCCTGTGTTATTTAAAAATCTAAAATAATTAAAGTTTACTTTGCTTATATGATCATCAAATAAGTGAACACTGAACAACAAACATCAGTGTGGCAATTGCTAAATGTTAAACAGTGCTGCTGAATAATAGAGAGGAGCTGTTTAGCATTAGCTTCACTAGTCAGCTCTGCTCCCCATAAATCGTGTTCGATTCTGACTAAAGCACAGGCACAAGTTTAGATGATACTGATTCAAATCTGAGGGAGTGAAGTTGAGCAGCTGGCGTTAAAAGGACACAAAGGCCAAATTAAATCTGTTCTGTAGTTTTTGGATCTGTAGCCTGATCAGCTTAGCTTAGCTTAGCAAGCAGCTACAGACCCAAACAGTGGCACACACCACAGTACAGCTTTGATTCTGACCAACTGCTGCTCTGCTGAAACAAGTATAGATGATAAAGTCTAACATCTGAAAGCGCAAAAGTGCAGTGAGTGGTGTTGGAGTGACAGAAGGCTAAAATCAAACCTGTTCTGTAGTGTTTGGGACTGTAGCGTTTAGGCTAAGCTAACGAAAGCTTTGTCAGCAGGTCAAATGTGCCACACAGTACAGGCTTGGTTCCAGCAAACTGATGCCAAATTGACCGAATGACTCGAATGACTGACGTTGGAGTGAAAACTGATATCAAACGTGTTCTGTGGGGTGTGTCTGCTATTGTGCTTAGTTTTTCTGAGGTTCTTCTTGGCTCTCGTTTTTCCCCTTTTTTATATCAGCACCACCTCTCAAACATGAACGGCTGGAATGTGTTTATCTGGGTGTTCAGCTGTAGAATAGAAACTATACAGGGTTATACAGGGTTTTTGACGATACTGATAAATCTACAGGATTTCAAAACTGGCTGATATTAATGGCCAATTCATATCCATCAGGCCCTGGTGTTCAGCACAGCGTTAAAGAGCACTGATACTGGTACGGGCAGTAGTAAAGTAGTCTGAGTGATGCAGTTAATCATTAGTTAAGCTTTTATGAGTCTATAAGCAAGTTCTTTATGAGCGAGGGGAAAATAACTTAACTCCCTTAAAAAAGCTCTTTTCTTCCCTGTTCTCATAACAGGGAATATAAGCGTTTTCACACGCTACAGTGGTTCTGCTCTGAAACCATAATAATAAATCACTTCAGTAATCTGGGAGCCATTGGATTCATGAATACCTAATATACACGTTTAATAAAAGAGGAAGGGGGGGGCTCACAGGAAGGAATACCTCGGGGCATTAAAAAGGAAAAAGGAGAACAGTGGTGTGAATCACTGGCTTTCATGTAAGACCATGAGATGTGAAATACCTGGCCTTGTCCGGCTGGCTGGCCTTCTCGTTTTCGTTAATGACCGCAAGCTCATCCAGCAGGGAAGTGGACTCTTTGGTGAATTTTTCAAACACCTGAACAAAATCTTACGATTAGTTTAATGCAGAATTATTAATAAATCCACCTGTTTCAAACATCGTGGAGTTATTAAATGATCTCAAAATCTCAAAGACACAAAATATTAACAACACTGAGGCTTCAAGACAGCTGCTAACACTGCGCCTCAAAGCCGTAACCAGACTGTAGAGAGTCAGCAGAGAGTCAGATTTCCAGACTTTTTCCCTGCTCCATTCTCAAGCAGGGGAACGCTGTACTGTACAGGGCTGTGAAGCTGTGTGAGTTTTATCCTCTGTGGTAAATTATTTGTAACTGAATTTCCGCTGACACTGCAGCTCAGTCCAAGGCCTTTTTCAGTAAGAGTGCACTTAAGTAACTTATGAAAACAGAGTGACGTCCAGCGTTACTTACCAGTCTCTTGTTGACCCAGTCCATGTGGTCGTACTGCAGGCTGCCCCCAAACTCATCAGTAAGCTGACACGGCTCGATGTAGCGCGTGAGCTTATTAGCAGAGACGAGGATTACCTGCAAAACAGGAAAACACAAAGACATGATCAGAGAGAGAGAGAGAGAGAGAGAGAGGGAGAGAGAGAGAGAGGGAGAGAGAGAGAGAGAGAGAGAGAGAGAGAGAGAGAGAGGAAGGAAAAGAGAGGAAAGAGGGCAAAGAAAGGAAAAAAAAGAGAAATAAACCAATAAAGGAAGCCAAAGCGAAAAAAAACAAAAAGAAAGGATGAGTAAAATGGAGAGAAATAGATGAAAAAGAGAAACAAAGAAAAAATAGAGAAACAGAAAGAAAGAAAGAGGGAAAGAAAGGAAGAGAAACGTAGAAATAGAGAAAAAAAAATAAGAAAAGCATAGAACGAAACAAAAGACGAAAGAAAAAGAGAGAAAAAAGTAGAAACAGAGAAAGAAATAAAAGTATAGAAAGAGAAAAAAGAAGGCAAGAAAAAGAAACAAACAGAAAAAGAGAAAAGACAAGAAAGAAAGAAAGAAAAAGAAAAAAGGAAGAAAAGTAGAAATGGAGAAAGAAATAAGAAGAGAAAAGCACAGAAAGAAACAAAAGAAAAGAAAAGAGAAAAAAGAGAAAAAGAAAGAAAGAAGTAGAAATAGAGAAAGAAATAAAAAGCAGAGAAATAAAAGTACAGAAAGAAAAGGAAGAGAAGAATAAAAAGAAAGAAAAAGAAGAAACAGAAGAAATAAAAAAAGAGAGAAGCATGAAAAGAAAGAAAGAAAGAAAGAAGTAGAAATAGAGAAAGAAAAAAAAAGACAGACAAAAGGAAACTAATAAACAGCAGGTTCACCAAACACAATAATCAATCAGTATTGATAACTACTGTATCAGTGATCTTTTGTACAAACTGATCAACTGCACATCACAATTTCACACAATCTGCACACAAACATCCAGTGACCGCAGAGAGGTTACCAGAACAATCAGAATCACTGCATCAGAAGAATTTTTGGAGTGAAAAGACCTTCAGTTCATCTCTAAACACACAGAGAAACTGAACACTCAGTTCAGTGAGTGTCTGAGGGGCTCACTGTGCATCACTGCGTTATCCTGAACACTGACTAACACCTACAAACACTACAAGGTTTTGCACTCATGGGTTTCAGTGCACTGAAACCTGAAAACTGTCCCTCAACAGTGACCAGCAGTGTGACCTGATACAGACACTGCAGGGAAGAAGAATGAAGTCACAACACAAACGCCACACAAGGTTAATGATGTATGAATAATCGATGAGGTATATGACGGCGGAGGGCTGAGAGACGGGAGATGAGACAGATCTCCGCTGGGTCAGAACCGCACGGCTGCACTAAATGTCACTGACGCTCATTACTCGCGCATGAGGCGCTCACGGGGGACTTCAACACAAACATGACCGCCCTGACCCTGAGGAGACCACCCGTCTGACACAAACGCCCACATCCACCGCCATCCGCCCCGTCTGTCTGTCCACTGCCCTCTGCTCTGAGTCACCGGCCACTTCCTGCTGCACTCATCACGAAAACCTCACTCTGGAGAAAAATGTGAAGCACGTTGCACGGCTGATACTTGTGTTGAGGATTCACAGTTTTAAAGGAACCATATCAGGAAAACTACATTTCTCTTGTGTTTTTTTTTTTTATTTTGTTTTGTTTGTGGAAAAAAAGGAGTTTGAAGTAACGTAAACACTGTTTAAGTTTCAAAACAGTCTGTTTTGAATTCACCATTTCTGTGAGGTCACAAAAAGCAACGCCTTCAGCCTACAGTAGTTTAGCTCCTCCCACTCACACTGAAGTTATAAGGAGTGTTTCATCTCTGAGTGCTTTCTGAATGAGGCACAATACAGGACAGCCAATCAGAACAGAGGTTATTTACATATATCAGTCTTAAAGACAGTACAGAACAACCTCTTTCATGTTAAAGAATAAAGAGAGGTTGGAAAACAGTAATGTAAACTGAATGACGTTTTGTTTAGTACATAAACCCACATAAAGGTTATATGTCGACCTCAGGCAAAAAATAAAATGAGACAAATATTTGGGCCCTTAAAAGATGCATGCTGGGCTTTTTTTGCCTCTGGCTGCTTTAAACCAACACTCAGAGAATCCTATGGTTGTTGAGTGTTTATTACGCTGTGGAATTGTAATCAGCTGACAATTCCTGACTGTTCTTAACCTAATGAGTCCAATATGGCCTAATGAGTTAATAAGTCCTGGGACTGTACAACTGAAAGACACTTTTGCACATGCCACAATTATTATTTATTCTAGTTCATTAAATATGAATTAACTGCACATACGCATTTGCAGTTAATGATATTGTGTAAAACAGTTTGTGGCAGAACTTGTGTTCACTTCTTTTCTCTTAAAAAATTTAGTTTAAACAGGGGTAACTAAACTGTAGGTACAGCTATATGTAGATGTTTGGGTGCCTGTGGTCAGATGTTGTTTTGTTGATTTTCTAAGTGAAAATACATCAACACATCCTCTACAGAGAACACACAAATCGTACAACCTTGTATCTCCATTTTTGTCGTTTTTCAGTTTTTGACATTAGTTTGAAAATGCTTGTTGCTCTTCACACTGTGTGTAAATTTCATGATGAATGGACAAAAAGAAATGACCCAAAATGACTTGAAAAAAAAAAGTCAGGTTCCATTAAAAGTAATTCCTTCTCCTGCCAAGTTATCATTTTGGAGATAAGAGGTTTTGCTCTGACAACAGCAAAATGCACAATTACCATTTATTTGATGAAATTAAAAAAAAAGGACGTTCAAACTTTTGCACACAACTGTAAACAGGCTATTATTTGAGTGCAAATTAGAGACTGGACAACAAAACTTCGCATTTATATACATTCTTATATACAGTCTTTTCAGATCTACAAGACTGACCGTAGTGTAATTCATAAACAATTACAAGCAAGATCCTCTGTGTGGTAATTTATATATCAATGTATATGTTCAATGTCTGCTGAGAACTAACTGCATTGTGAGGACAGAACATGCACTGTGTGTGTTTAACAGAACGCTTCGGTGGTCTCGCAGACATGCTCAGCTGAGTAAACACTCGGGACACAGCGGGTGGGACAAGAAACAGCTCCCTCTCTACAGCCGGGCCAGACACACACACACACACACGCACACACACCCACACACACACACACACACACACACACCAATATTTCGTCTCCAAACATCTGCAGAGGTCCAGAGAAAGCAGACCTGAGCAGTGGCTTTTTGGTCACTGAGGGAAATTAACTCACGTCTTCTGTACTTCGCTTCTTTTTTGTTTTAATCGCACTGATGTCTTAAACTATATGTACGTGTAAATTAGAAGTGAGAAATATGGCACAAATATGTAAATAATTATATATATACACACACACACACAATATATATATATATATATATATATATATATATATATATATATATACACACACATATACATACACACACACACACACACACACACACACACACACAACAAAATATATATATGAAAAATGAATGGAAAATCTCAATAATTGGACATTTTCTCAATAGACAACACCAATCATGAATAGGTTTTTCTGAGGTTTGACTGCACACCAGCAGCACTATTAACAGTTAATGTTCTCCCCACAGAGACAGGGATGAGGACAAAGAAAGGAGAAAAATTAAGAAATAAACCAATAAAAGGAAGTCAAAGAGAAAAAAAATGAGATGAGCAAAAATGGAGAGAAAGAGAAGAAAAATAAAAAGAGAAACAGAAAGAAACAGAAAATTATAGAAAAAGAAAAGAAAAATGTAGAAATAGAGAAAGAAAGTGAGAAACAAAAGCATAAAGATAGAAAGACTGATAATAACAGAATTAAAAATCATATCCTCCTGATAAAGAGAAAACAGATCACTACACCACTCGTCTAAACGCGCCAATGTGTGGAAGTACTGATGATCCATAATATGCTCAGAAAAGAGTACTGTGACAATTTATTATAGTGATGATACATGAATTCACCCACCTTTATTGTAAATGTGTAATTATTAGCAGTGTAATAATATAAACTACTGTATTGTATTATACATAACATCATTCATCTATTCGTGTTGCCCCAGAAGTGCTGTTTGGATCAGTGTGACAAATTCGCGGGTGGGCTGAGCGTTGAGTGGCAGGGGGCAACAACAAATTAGTAACTATGAGGTGTTTGTTAAGCATCAGCTTCAGAACCAGGAAACAGAAAAACAAAACAAAAATACTAATTCTCCTATCTAAACTTGCCTATTAGTAAATGTATATCTTACTTTGCACAAAGAAGCAATAATGTCCCAACATAACTTCAATAAGTTCATGATTTCTCCTTATAGATATTTGTGCCTTCAGATTTAATGAGCCACATTTAAAGCTGGATAACTTTAACAGTTACTGTAATAATGGGTTTTATGGTTACGCTCACGTTTTGAATAAGCTCTGTTTATATACTTTTAGTCCTGAACAGACTCTTGGAAGAATTTTGAAAGTGTGCCCTGTCCATTTAGTTAACACCTTCTGGTTATGCTTATTGTTGAACTGAAATCCTGATTGCTCAAAAATTTCAAATGTGTCATATTTGGTGAGTGCATTCTTATTTGTGTTCTTGGTTAATTTACTAATTTAAATGTGAAGTTGAGCAGTCATTCTGAGTAGGCCTGGCCCACTGGGCCCAATGATGACGTCCCCACTGGTTGTATCGTGACTAACATGTTAAATCAGGGCTCTGTAACGCACACAGGGCATTATGATTCATGTTTTTGTGCTGCTGAGCTGCCAGTCTGAGTGGATGGAGGAAAACTGGGCCATTTTACAGTCTCTAGTATTGTACTTATGTTCAAAGCTGAATGCTCAAACTGGAAATAGGAACCATTGAAGATCAGAAACGCAGATTTTTGGTTGTTTTTAGTTAATAGAGGTGTATTTTATGAATGAAAAATGCCTATTTAGCCCATTAAAGAGCACCAACTTTTATGTTGCAACTTTGGCAAATACAAGGTACTGAAAAGTGTGCTTAATGCATT